TCTAAGGTTGCTGTACTTGGATCGAAAAGCATTTGCTGAATTGCTGTTTGTGATTTCATAAGAGAGTTTATACAATCCAAATGTGTGCTCCATCTTGTAAATGATGGAAGAATAAGTGCAATTTCCTTATTATAATTATCTTTTGAATATGTCGCAATTTAGCCATAGCTATATTATGACTTTTAAAATATTTAATAATTGTTTTTGAATCATCTATAACTGATTTAATTTCGTTAATTTGTATAATATCATTAACTAATAGGTTAATTACATGTGACGAACATCCAAGACAAAATATATATGGAAATTTTCTTTCAATTATTTTCCATGCTGCTTTCATATTTGAAGTGGTATCAGTAATAACAGAAGAAAATTTCTAAATACCTATTTCTTCCATCTTGGTAATAATTTGTATTGCAATCCATTTTGTCGTATGATGAGCTTCTCCAGAATAGATTGCATCATAAAACCATGTTTTGGTATACAAACTACAAAATTTTGAACTGCTTCCTGATTAATATTAGACCATCTGTCTGAAACCATCATGATATTTTGTGCATTATTAATTTCAATCTCAACATCTTTTTTAATATCTTCATAAACTTGATTTAACAGACCTTCAAATAACTTTATATTATTAGGAATTTTAAAAGATGGTTGAAGAGTGTAAAAAAATTCTGTCCAAAATAGATTTTGAAATGCATTAAAAGGAATTCCAAAAGCAAAAACTGCTTTTGCAAATTTATATTCTAAGTCTAATAATTCATTACAATCCATTTTGTCAATATTAACTAATTATTCATAATAGCTTGCTTAGTTTTTAATTTAAGATTATTAACCCAATTTACTTGTTAAGAATTAGCTTTTTCAGTAGTTTTAGCTAATTTAGGTGCATTTACACAACTATTAGTATGCTTTTGCATACGAGTTGCAAGTCCATGCTTATATTTTTTAGAGCAGTATTTACATTTTATGGGTGGATGAGGATTATTTATATTTTTTTGAGTTTGTGTACTTGTTGGTGAAGAAATAGAATCCTCTATATCACTGGAATTTTCATCAGAGGAATTAAAGTAAAAAGATTCATTTGAGGATGTCAAAGCTTCTAATTGGATCCAATGATCCCAAATTTTGCTCTTTTGTGGCATTTTACATACAATTTAATAAATAGAG